TACCCATTAGGCCATGGTACCTTCTGCTTTTGTAGGGAGTAGTTAATTGGGGAGTGGTTAATTGAGCACTGTACACCGTAGTGTACCGTACCTTCCAAAATTAAATCAGAACCAGGGAACTACACGTAAATATAATGAATAAAATGTAGAATCTTAAGATTCTCAAATGAAGGTTAAATGTGTGGCAGTCTGACCTTTTTGCCAATTAACATTATCCTACTTCCCTTCTTCACTCCAAGCAATTTTAATGGCTGTGGAAATTCTGTTAAAGACTGCCCTAAAACAAGGAAAACTTACCTTAATATTTGTACTAAACAATACTTACATACTCTATCATTGAGAAGGGGGGATTTTTTCTCCATCCAGTTTAAAATTATTCAAGTTGAGTCAAAGAGACTAGCAGAGGTTTTTGGATTTAATGCTATTGAACTCAGTCTGTCTTGCCTTTTAAAGCAGCGCTTTTGTAATATAAACTTATCTGAGGCAACTATTTGACCTGCATAAAATTAAACTCTTTATATTAGTTCTCATCTCCAGGCATTTATCATGATAGAAATTACATCATTTCAACCATAGTCATTTATGAGGTCTTTTTGAGCTAATAATTATCCAAAATGTTTTTCACTGATATAACACTACAGTTGACCACATTTCTTAAAGGAGATACAGAAACTCAAGGTGTTTTGCTTTTCTATAGACCCCCTCATCGTTTATATTGAGAAAATCAGTTTAAATTTCAAACAATAGAAATAATTCAATAGTGTATTTCGAGCTGGAAGAAATAAGGTTGAAAGCTGAATTAGGCTGCCTCGCCACTTACATGCAAGCTTACTACGAGTGAATTATTTAAGGATTTTGTACAATGAGACAGAAATATTACATAGTATATGAACAGTACCTTTGAAAATTAGTCTCTGTGATCCTCGTGGAACGTCAGTCAGCTGAGCTGCAAGATTTGCCAAATCTTCCACAGTGGGTCCCTCACCATCACTGCCTTCCATCGGCAGCTCAACCGGGTACTTCTTTGCACCTAAAAGCAACGCGAAACGACCGACGAATGATCCAATTTTGATCAGGTATTACTTGATGGAGAAATCAGCCGATGATTAATAAGTTTTTCTTACCATGAACCAACGTAAACTTTAGCATGCCTTCGTCGTTTCCGTCCGCCATCTTGAAATTTATCTCAATCTGCGCACACTCCTCAAATTATACCGCTATGCTATCGTTGACTGACTGCGGATTCATAGGTCTTGACGGAATGGACGGAACAGGCGAAGATGAGAGCAAAGCATTTTGTTGAATTTTTGAGAACGTCGATGCATCGTCTAGCCGTGCCTGTGGTTTCAGTGGTAGCTGTTGGGGTTGGAGGAAGCCTTGGAGTTCTCTTTGAAAGGTAAAAAGCTTCGCCGTGCGCTTTTTTATAATTTGTGGAAATATCGATCACTTTATAAGTGATCGATATTTCAAATGAAATATCATGAAATTTCATGTGTGGTGCAAATTAATTTTTACCACACATGAAAATTGTTTTGTTACTGGTCAAAATTTCAACTTCAGTTATTTTTGCACACTGTTATCAATCGAAATGCAACCCTTGTGTTTCTTTAAAATGATATGTTTTTTCAGAAACAGTTTTCACTATAATTTTGCCATCCCCCGGGATGGGGCGCGCGGGGGGGAGGGGGCTCTCATGTAAAAAGAACGGGGGTGCTTGTCGTACCTTTAGGGGGTTAAAACAGCAGTTTTGGTACCTCTTTGGGTGTTCAGCCTCGAAAGGTCCACAGCGTGAGCTTTTGCGGTACCTTTTAGGGTATTGAACCAAAAATATTATGCCTTGATATATAATGGGCACGAATCATTCAAACAAAATTTCTGGAAATTTCAGTTTAAAAGTAAATGGATTGGCTCGGTCCAAGTGGAAAAGTTTTAAAAATTGGTCCACCTTTTGAGGTGGACCACCTCCCTGTTTGGTATTTTCCTTGTACACTACAACATGGAGGAAAACACTTATCATTGCAGCTTTTACGGATTGTCAACAGCAGATTTATCAGTGTTACTTGTACATCCATGTGCAGTTACAACAGGTCTGTCACTGCTTCGCAAGCCAAGTTTAAGTTTTGGCTGTTAACAGCTCTTTAAAAAGATTTATTTCCTGAGAGAGTTTGGAATCTTCCTTTTGTTATTCGAAAGTGGTGTTTGAACTCATACGGCAAATATCTGGAAACGGTCTGCTCAAAATAACCCATTATACTGGTTAAATTACTAAGGATGAAACAGCTCACACAATATGATTGATATCCCCATCGAAATCGTCATCTAGCTCTTATAGGACCAGCCGTGAGCCTCCATTTTAAGTGAGTGTGACACTTGTTTTGTGAGTGGAATTCCGGACCCGTCATGATCCATTTGACACCAAGAAATTTTCAAACCTCGGCCTGGAAATTTTGGTTGAATGGATGGCACCCAATGTGTTGTTTTAGAAGTGGTAAAAAATTTCAAGCCACACCCACAGAACAGGATCTGGATGAGCACCCCTCTCCTTTTTATAAGGAAATCCCCCTCCTGAGTGCCCATCCCACCAACTCCATACATACCACCTGCCCATTACCCCACCCCTGCTCGGTAACATTTTTAATGTTGTTTTTTTTTTTTAACAAAATGTGTCAAACATTTCTGTATTGTATGAAAACAACACTTTATTCCCTGGGTTTAATCTTGGTCTGCATCTTGTACCTAGTCTACCATCTGCATTTGGTACCCTGTCTGCAAATGTGAAACTGCAGAGCAGGTACAAAATGCTGTTGCCTAGCAACATTGGTGAAAGCCTCACTGAGCATTGGTTACCATGACAACTGTAGCTTCCCCCTTACAGCATCAAGTTCCGTTTGTCTAAGCAGTATCCATATTTTAAATATGTAGTTGACTTCACTTCCCAATGGAAATGCTTTGTCATGGACTCAGCTACATACAAACACCCACTAGCGGTGCTTAAACCTCCACTAAGTGAACACTTCTTCTAATAAGCAGATACTTTTTTCTGGTTCCTATGGTAAGGAAGTCTTTGTATGGCAGGTTTCAGTTGTGTTCTAAGGACCACCATTTTGTGTAAGGTGTCAGTGAACTATAGTTGAGTTTAAAATACTTATTTATTACCCAGCTATAAATATTACTTTATTTTGTTTCACAGAAAGAGGCTTCAACATGGTGTACTTTCTGCGGTACATGCAAAACCAAAACAAGATGTTGTTGATGGTCCAGGATCCAGATTGTCAGAAATAATGAGATTTGGATTTCCTGGTAGTTGAAATATAATAATATTTATATGAGAAATGTTTATTCATTGATCACCAAAGAGTGTCAATTAAATTGTTGGTGAGATAGGGAGGTTTTCGACTGAGTGTTGTAAAACCAAAATCAAGTCAAAGTGATCACTCCAGATAATCACAGTGACTATAAGGACAAAACAGTGAAAAAACCCTCAAAGTGAATACATGGGGCCAGTGTGAAGTATCGGGAAATGTATGCCATCACATCACAATAATATTGCTTTTGGGATGAGTAAGTGGCGCAAGATTCCTCTACCAATGAGTCGTAATGCAAGACCAAAGCACATGCAAATACTTTGGGCACTCAATTGAAATCTTTTATTGTGACTTTGTTGTTGTAGAAAATGTCCATACCTCTTGTGTGGAAGGTTGTTGGTTTGAACTACCCCTCTCCTATGGAAACTTCCAACAGTTCAGCGTCATATTTTGTTTTAGAAATGTTGGCTTTTGACACCCTTTTCCAGGATCTTGAGATTTCCATTATCTTTGCAATGGATTATCAGTAGTGGATCCAGACCTTGAGCTAAGGGGGGTGGGGGGTTGTTTTGCTTGCCTTGCTGGGTTTTCTTCCTTCTGTGATTTCTTCTTTTGGGGGGGGGGGTCCCCCAGGCCCCTCCCCTAGATCCGCCGCTGATTATTGTGTTCAAAAGACCATCTGCAATGGTAATTATAGTGCAATCATTTACTCCTATAGGTAGTCATGTTAGAGCGGTTTTCCCCTGAGTGTTGAACAATAATCAATAGTTTTGCCTAACTATGCTACATGTTTGGCTCCAAAAAAAAAAGAAAAAACCCTACACCACTTTTTCTTCCAATCAAGAGTAAAACCAAAGCCAATCATGACTTGCTGACACTCACTCACACACACTTTCCCATGCTTCACATCAGCTACATGCATTTAATTCGAGTTTTGTACTATCTGTGCATGTGTCCCTTGTGATTGGCTAAAGTGATTGCTTTGGTTTTTGCTCTAAAAAGTTTTTTATCATAATTTTCTTTGTTAATTTTCGTGGCTCTGTAAAATGAACCCTGTGGCTAAATAAAGATTTTATTGTTTAACATATATTATTACTTGATGACTGATTACTGTTGCCACAGTTGTAGGAAAAACTCCAAACCTAGTACCAGTTGTCTGTCTCCAGTTTATAGATTAAGTTTTCTATAAAATGTTAATCTTCCATAGGTTTTGATAATGTCAAGGCCAAGGATGATTATGTTCTTTCATACAACCGCCGTCTAAGACTCGCAAACTGGGTAGCGGAGGTAATGTTTTGGCTAATGAAATTTCTTTCTATGGTAGTCATTGTTCAGGGTACTTCTGGTGGTCTTATAAAAAATTGTTTTTCTATTAACAGATTTTGATTTACAAGTACGTGAGTAAATAATTAGTTATTTTTGGTTTGATTTTTCTGATATCAGTTTTTTACTATATTTTTTCTGATTCAACACTGCTAGTCCCCAAATAAATGTCACATTTGATTGATCTCCAAGGCAGAGTTGTAAATACCCCCGTAAAGCATTACTTTATTCATGGTATAATGAGATAGAGCTACAATTGCGACAAAAGCAGTTAAGACGGTTCCAACATATTGCATTGTCAGATAAATTTGAAATTCATGATTATTATCAATATTATGGGGTACTCAATTCCTCCCCCACTCCCCCTTTCAATGTGGTTTTAAGTTATCAACAGGATCTGAGTTCTGCATAACAACATTGATTGGGGGTGGTGAGGGGGGCAAACTGGGCAGAATTACAATCAAAGCAATGGAAAAGTACTCTGAAGAAGTGAAATGTCTCAACACTTTTGTCACCGATTATAGGTATGGCTAATGAATAATTTTCTTTGTGTAATGAACACAAGGCTTAAATAAACTGTTGCTGTCAAATAAATGCTGGGTTCACAAGACCAAGTTTGAAATTATTGTTGGGGGCATTTGATTAATCAAGAAGATAACATGGTATTATCCACTTTTTTTTCATTCTGCTAACAATATTGGGCAAAGAAACACACACACAAATCAAACTGGTTTTAAAATTCCATTTGAACCCAAACCTTCTAACCAACAGCTGATGACGTAAGCTGTAAGTTTTATTTGGTAAGAAAGCAGAAAGCCGGTATGACAGACCAAAATATACTTTTACTGAGTGATGTAATATACCATAACAAATAACAGAAATCACATACACCTTAGGATTATTGACTTTTCTTAATAATCTTTTATGTGCCCCTTTACAGAACAGTATAATTAGTTTAACCTGGTTATCTTAACCAGGTTAACCTGGTTAACCTGGCAGTAGCAGTAATTAAAATTAAGGGTGTGAATTAAAACACGGGGGTTTCATAAGGGCCACGTATTTGGGCAAATTGACCAGCTCTGTGGACAATTTTGCCCCCCTGGTTTTGACCATCTCAGTTCAAAAAGGTTTGCCTGCCTGTGAAAACCAGTTGCCCTCCCGCTGAAAATGAAATGAAATCCCTGAAAACATGGTTAATATTTTGAGTTGTGTTGCTGGGCAAACCCAAGTTACACCTCTAAGCAATGTTGTTTTCATACACCTTTTTTTCAGCACTTGACAGCTGTAAATGTGTACAACAGAGATCTTGACAGAGGGCGTTGTGAGTTTGTGGGTGATCCGTCAGTTCATCCCTTGTTTGCGACAACAAATGACGACTACAGGTTTGTGGTAATTAGGTAAATAGTACTGTTGTATTTTTAGAGTGAACATTAATTGTGCTAAATTTGGTTGTGGGTGTTTTCAGGAAGAGTGGATATGATAGGGGACATCTTGCTGCAGCAGCCAATCACAGGTCTTCCCAGAACTCGATGTGTGCCACGTTCTTCCTGAGTAACATGAGTCCACAAGTTGGTGAGCAAAGATAAATCATCAGCAATGTTGTGTCAGCAATGAGATGCCTGTTGAACCCAACATCTACAAATTCATCAAGTTAAAACTAAGGAAATCAAAACTGTGATGTTGGTTCAGCTTTGCGATATACATTTTATACCATGCCATAGGAAACACAGCCAATCAGAATACAGGAAAGCCGTTGTATATTTGACGGTATTACATACAACCTTCCCATCATGCGCCGTGCTTATGGCGCATTGATTGTGTGTTCATCACTGTATTTTTCTATGGCGTGGTATAAAACAGTTATACAACTCTCTCTCATGGTATACCATGAAATATCCCACTTGTCACTTGTATTTTCTTGGTATAAACAAACTCACCTAAAAGTTCCTGTGTATACTGGCAAAATACAAGTGACTTGTGAGATGTTACGTTGTATACCATGACAGAGTAATGCATAGCTATATGCAACATAGTTTCCAGTTCCATTAAGTTACCATGGTTTTCCCAGAGAAAAGAACTTGGAGCAAGGCAAGAACCAACAACAAACTCAACCCACATGGGGCACTCCTGGATTCAAACCTGGGCCACATTGGCGGAAGGCAAGGGCTCTCATCACTGCACCATCTTGGCTGCACATGTATTTTCAGATTTTATCTCTGCGTGTGCCATTTCATTATTATTGACAGTAATCTGAGTCCTAAAAACTATTTATCTCAAGGAATACACCTGATAAATCATCAATTAATGTACCTCATATCATTTAGTCTTTTTAAAAGGTGTTTAATTTTTGACACAAATTTCTTTTCTTAAGGCAGGTTCAGGATTTAACCGTGATGCTTGGGAACACCTTGAAAAGTATTCACGCCATCTGACGAAGTTATACAAGAATGTTTATGTTATCACTGGTCCTCTCTTCTTACCAAAGTAAGTCGAAAAAAGAAAAACAGAAAAAAAAAAAAACACTAAGTCCTCTTCCGCATTTCCTTCCATATTGGGGCTGGTCACCTTGCACCAGGAAGTCTCGCCACCAACGAACTAGCCAGCAAGCGAAGTCCCCTCGCCAACAAATTTCCAATGATCTAATAACGTTAACAACGGAACACATATCGTATCACGTCACCGACAACATGTTGACATCGAAGTTTGCAAACAGACAAGCTAACGAACTTACGAGTCGACTGACATTGTAGTCGCTCGAACAGGTGATACACTTTGACTACTTTACTCTAGTTTATCTTTTTGTTGGTGTTTGGTGGGGAGGAGACTTCTCTCGGTTTTTTTTTTTTTTTTTGCTTGCCCTCCCGGCTTTTTGTCCTTCTGCGATTTTTGCTCGTCCTCTAGATTAGCACGTCGTTGGTCTCTGTTGCTGTTTGGTTTCTGTTTTGTTGATATATTTAATTGGATCGTGTTACTTATTTTTATTCTACAACAAGCATTTTTTTAAAATAAAAATGTTGCACGCCCTGAAAAAACAGTTGTCACATTTACACCCTTACCTCCCCACCTCCCCACATAACAGCCAGCTCTCTATAACAGCCACTTTTCTCTGTCCCCAAGGTGACCATTGTGGAGAGGTTCGACTGCATTATGCCTGTTCGGAAGGCACCACTATCATGGTCAATTTTTGTTAACTTATGCTGTTTCTCCACAGACTGGAAGCTGACAATCAACTTTATGTGAAATATAAGGTTAGTCTTAATAAAAATTACTATCGGCTATTGTAGCGTTTTGTTTTTTACGCGAGTAGAAAGGAAAAAGTGAATCGTTTGAAACACAGCCGAATATGCTCAACTTGTGATCGGTAATGGCTGAACAATCCACTCTGCTTTTTGAGCTATTTTGTGAGGAGAAAAAAGGAAACTGACCCTGTCCCCCCTACTTTTACTTGTTTTTGTGTACAGCACCTAACTATATACCAGAATACGTCGGCTTCTTTGTGAAATTTTCAAGAACGGAGAAGATGAGAAAATCCTTTACAAGAATTGGCGTCTCAGTCTGGAATTCCATCCTACATTGTGAAATTACTAATTAAATCCAAATTCCGAAATAACCTTAAGGAACTACTTGCTTCGATGCGTTTCAATGTGAAGATGATTACATTGAACTCTCCTAACTTCACTCTCTAACTCTACTGATAACAGTTTTCTAGTCGCTTGTGTATGTGTGCATTTATTTAACAAATAAAGAAGTCTAAGCCGTGTATTACACTGTGATAAAACACGACGCATTTGAGAACACAAGGGAAATGTGCGGCTCGTGTTTTCTACATTTCTCAAGAACATTTCTACATTTCTCTTTTCTACATTTCACGGCTTTAGCTCCTTTATGATATAGATTTTACACGCCGCGAGTGGTACAAAGATGGACAAACTGACGGAATTTAACACCAGTTAAGTGCTACGTGCCTCGTCTTCAAAACTTTCTGCTGCTTCGCAGAGAACTCCACCACAAATTTCTTCGAAAAGAAATGTTTTTCGCCGTCTCTAACAAAGATGTTGACTAGAGGTAATGGGGCGAAAAACAATAAAACACGCTTTTTCTATGTTTTCGTATACTCTGATGAAACATGGGTTTTTGACCAATCAGAGCGCGTGCAGGGTCCTATCTATATTGTAATTACTAATGCTCCATTTTCTTTGTTTGCATTGTTACATCTTAGTTGATTGGGCAGAATCGCATAGCTGTTCCCACACATTACTTCAAAGTGATCCTGGGCGAGACAAGGAATGACCAGTTAGAACTGCAGGTTGGTCTCTCTTCTGTGACAAGTCGGTGAAAATTCCCGAGTTCATAATGCCATCGAGAATTAACGCTCTGTGCTATTGTGGCGTTACACAGTACCTCACTGTTATTTATTTTCGCGGGAACTTAATTTCGTGAAAATGAAAGAGGCATATTTCGCGGGACTTAAATCTCGTAAATTGCCGAAAAAAAATACGTTAACAGGAACTAAATTTCGTGAAAATTGTCAAAACACCGATCTTCATTACTAGTATCAAACAGTTAGTCTCAGAATTGTCAGAACTGATTTTTATCTTCCAAAGCAATAGTTTCAAATAACACTGAACAAAACCATATAGCTATATATAGTTATACAGAGTACATGATACCAACTATTTGCGCTTACAGCTGGGGAGTGGTGGGGGAGGGGGAAAGAGCTGACTCATCCGGCCTTTATTACCCCAGCAACTCCTGCTTTCTCCCCTCTTGGCAATGTAGCGCGCTGATCAAAGAATTATATAGCAGAATATTAAATTTCGCGTAGTTAATTTTGGCGAAAACCTTTTTTAGACGGGTCGTAAGTCTCGGGAAATAAGTAACAATAAAGTAGGTCTTTGTTAAGGCTTATGCACTGGGATGATCTTGTCTGAAGCCCCCGGGGGAGGTGTTTCCCTTTATATCATGCATGCCATAGAAAAGACATCCAATCAGAATGCGGAAAAGCCGTTATTTACTCGACGGTATTTCACGACACCTTCCCACACCTTTCCACCGTACGCGTAGTATTTTGACCATTTTAGTCTGCAGTGGATCGTGGTTTTCACTCAACCATGGAATTGGGATTGAAGTGTAGATGAAACTTATTTTTGTGCCGTAAACATCGCGGAATTTGAAGCTCTTCTCAAATCTGTATGCAAATTCGTGATTAGCTGAGATCACGTATCAGGGAAATGCAGCAATTCTAGTGATCTGCAATAGGGTATCGATTTTGCGTAAAGTCTGAAATGGAGTATCGACAATCATATTTTGGTCTGAAATCTTGGAGAGTACCCACCAGGTTTGCAAGACACGTAGACTCTTTTCCCCAGATCTGACGTCTATGCGGATATTTACGTAGTAAATTTACATAGCAGTAACGTGTACATCACTTTCAAGTCCTACTTCACATTAAACTTTATGAGCACTGGACGTTTCATCAAACTCGGAGACCAAGGAAAGCTAGTCGGGACGACGCGATATTTTCGGGCGAAAGTTTGTAACAAGAGCGGGAGAGCTCCTGAGCACTTTTTCTTACCGAACCAGTTACAGAAGCGTTTGAATTCCCGCTGATCTAAACATCCGCCCGAAAATGTCGTCCCGACTAGCTGCCCCTGGGTCGCCGAGGATGACTTTTTACCAGCCCCCTGTGTAACATAACATCCCAGCCGGTAAATTTATCGTTTCTTGGACTTATGCCACTTGTGGTAATGCACATGTTGATCATATGTCAAGCACACACTGATCACGTGTTTACATGTCTTTTCGTTCCAGTCCTACATACTGCCTAACCAACCAATCAACGAGAAGACACCGCTACATATGTTTCAAGTCCCGGTGGAAACGATCGAGAAGGCCTCGGGCCTAATTTTTTTCGACAAGGTTCCGCGCCATGCTATTAATCAGATTCGGCCGACGATTGCCTTAAGCAGCTGACGTTGGTATTGCTAGATTCGACTTAGGTGAATATGGTGGCCATGATGGTTTTCGAGTTATAATGCTATTTAGCCATAAGGTCAGCGGAAGGGGGAAGGGAGGGGGCAAAGTGAAACTCTGGAAAGAAGACCGTTTTTGGAAAATCAGCTCGTCCCAATAGTCAAGCATCTCTGCCAGAATCATATTTCTGGGGCGGATACAGGAATTCAGAGAAGGGGTTCCGGTGGCATTCTCCCCCGGAAAATTTTTAAAATTGAGGTCCTTGGAAATGGGAAGTCCGGCATTCTGAGGTCACGTAAGCGTGTTATAATATCCCATTTCTTTTAATTTAGGGGTTTCAACAGAACCCCCCTAACCAACCCCTCAGATCCGCCCCAGTATTTGAGAAACACGTTATGAATAGGTAAAGTAAAATTAGGATCGACCTACGTAAGATGGACACCTGATGATAAATTATACCACGTAGTTTAGTTGTAGCGATAAGCATGTGATGAAAGGTTCGGTTAGCCTAGCTGGCATTTCGGTAAGCCTAAAAGCTCTCTGGGTAGCCTTAAATAGCACAACGATTAGCCTAAGCTAGCTGTGGAAGCTTGCGGTTAACCTGTGTATTGGGGTTAGGAAAAAGGAAGACAGCACGAACAATAACCATGTAAATTTTCGAAAATTTCTTCCCGGGAATTTCCGTTCCATGTAATTTTCCTCCAATTTCCAGAATTTTCGGTCGAATGGTTCAGATTTCGAAAAAAATGCAACATCTTTTCTCAGCACCAGTTGTCCTCGTTTTGGAAAGTTTCGGAATTTTTGATTGAATGGAAAACTCCCTTTGTGTCAACTACGGAGTGATCGTTGGTTTGGAATATATAGATACCCGACATCTTGACCACCAGTCTTGTGTCTTTTATAAAACCACCAAAATGGCCTAAAAAGCATGCTTCCTTCCCGGGGGGGGGGGAACTTCCATATAAGAAGGACAGAGGTCCTCGTCGTACCTGTTGGGAGATAATGTGTTGTTTTAGAATTGCTACCTTTTATGAGCGAAAAAAAAAATTCAAGCCACGCCCACGACGCTTACCTCTTAAGGATTTCCGACGAGTACCCCTGTCGTTTTTGTATGGGAGTTCCCCCCCGGGGCTTCCATATGCAATACAGAAAGCATAATTATCATAGCTACAAAAAACGTATCAGGAATTTGTCGATTTTATCTTGTTTGCTCCTCCCCCCTCCCTCTCCCCCACCTCACAAATCACCAGCGCAACTTGCATAGACTTGAAAACAAACATGGCGGATGGCTAGCTGTTTGTGTAAGAAATTATTGCATTGTCAACGGCCCAGTTCCGGTTTCATCTCAATTTGCAGTCAACAAAACCGGTCATCATGAAATTTTCTTATCATTTAATTTGTTTGTAGTTGTAGAGCGGAAAATATACTTTGTTAAATTGTCACAATTTTGTCATTTGTACGAAACTTTCACATGAAAATTAAATGTCTTTTACTACAATATGCCTATTTGTTTTTTCTTTTCCTAAGCCCCTTATGTAAGTTAAATTTCTGAAAGTGCGGTCCTTGCGTGACTACGTCATACTGCCGTAAAATCCTTCCGTCAAGTGACGTTGCGTGACACAAATGAAGTCGCGCAAAACGTTACAGTACGTTTACATCAAGGCACTGACAAGTATTTATGTCGATGTTTTGGTTATTTGCCTTGCATTTGTCCTGGAGTATCTTTTTGCAATGACAGCCGCAGTTTTCAGCATCCCACTCTTTGTTGTGAGCGCAGATCTGTGGAGCTGTGTCACACTTGCAGGCACAAGTCTTGATATCCCAGCTTTGAGTTGCTCCGTCACACTGCGATCCATCCTCAATGCAGTTGCATTTACAATGGTCTGCGTTCCAAATCTGTATCTGCGGATCGCAATCACTGGCTGTCTGGATACAATCGCAACTGCATTGGGTGTGGCTATACAACTTCATACTCTTAAAATCCCACTGTTTGTAGATTATTTCCAAAACTTCAACATTGATGGCGTCTTGCGCCGTGACAGCGCAGTGTTGGGCGTCCTGCAACGAGCAACTTCCACCGCAACGATAAAGGATGACGAAGCTGGGATATAGGGAAGTACCAAATACCCTGGGTAACTCAATGATTGCTGGTCTTGGTTTACAGGTGGCGTCTTCCGGTATGACCGGTAGGTTATTTACTGTAAAAGAAACAGTTAGCATCAAAACCCGCTATCAGTTCAAACTTAAAGTGAGGTACTGGTAACGAGTTATTTAACGAGTTAATTAACCTAAACTTAACGTTGAAAAAAAAACAAATGGCGACTGCGTGACAGAAAGGCCGAACAGATAAAGCACTCACTCAAATGTGTCACGCTTTTACGGTTCCGCCGTTGCTGATCGGCCAACCTCTACTGGTCACAACATTAAACGGGACTTTTGAAATGGACAATCCGACTTACTTTGTAGAATAAAGGCCGAGGGCAGGGGATTAATTCCATATATAAGCTTTTTAGGTATGTGCCGCTGTGACGGGTATGGGTTTTAGGCAGTTTAGTCTGGGAAAGGGTAGAGAAATTAGACAGATTTGCTCTAGAATAGGGTATAATTTCAAGAACAGGGTTCTTTACCCAGGAAACTCGGAAGAGACCCTGAAATATTAGTTTAGCATATGGTAGACTACGATAGTGATAAAGTTTCGTCATGGAAAATGGTTAGTCTCGGATAGGATAGGGGTTTTTGGTGGCTGGCTAGTTTGGAATAGGATTGCAAAATCAAGCTGATCGTGGTCTAGTATAGCGTAAGGGTTCCAGTGTCCCAGCCGCACACCCCCACCCAAAGATTTACTGAGTACCCCCCTCCCCGCGGTAATGGAAACACTGTTAATACGAGAATTATGTACCACAAGAGAGCGGCGTCTAGTGCCCACGCGAAAAAAGAAAAAGGTATCCGTAGCCATCTGTCTAGCTAACATACTTACGTTCTGTAGTGTTAACTCCTCCAGAATGCTCCGGCACGTCACTGGAGGTCTGAGAGCTAGTCGATGCGTCATGCCGTATTACAGATATAGGGGAGGCGCCTGCTTTATAAGCCTGGTATCTCCTCATAAATTCGTCTCGTGGAATTTCCATCTTCTCAAGAAATACTGCAAGGCCTCTCGGCAGAGCCTGTTGATAAATGTGCTATTCAACCATTAGATTATTCGCACCCGATTCCTATCATTCTTAGAAATCGAGAGCGAATAATCTAATTGTTTTAGTATATTTCTACTAGTCCTTCAAACTTTATCTAAATCCTCTTCACAGGCACTTCTAATTCGAAAACGCGAAGAAGCGGCCGTCTTGTTGACAAGCTCACACTGCTACACCACTCACTATCTACAACAGAATAGATAGTAGCGTAGCCAATCAGAGAACGGCATTCGTTATAGAACGCTAGCAGATTTATACTTAAATTTGAGAGAAATTTTCATTGCTGAAAGGGATACCGGTAATTTCGCAAATCTATTTGACGGATTAGTGCCTAAATATGAATTCTGGAATTCTCAATTATAGAATAATGAATATATGAAAACCCTTGATTAGTTAAGTTCTTAGAAACCTGAACTAAGACAATGATAATAACTTAAGAATAATGAAGGCCAGTGGGATTCTTTTTATCAGTCATAAATGGAGGACGACTGGACGAATCTTCAAGGTTATCTGCTTGTTGTTTCTTGCGATTTCGCTCCTCGATACCCGGTCTTAATTAGCATAGATTTTGACGATTTTACTTCTCCCTTTACTACTTAGTTTTTGTTTCGATTGAGAAAATATATCAAACACTCGAGATAATGTTTCATTGGCTATCCAAACACCTAGAATTTCGTCAAAAATACTCCGTTGCGCGTCGTATTTTTAGCTTTCTTCTCGGTGTTTGGATATCCCGATGAAACATTGTCTCGAGTGTTTGATAAATTGCCGCGGTCAATCGTTTTCGGGTCACGTGGTCAGGTGGGCGAAAAGTGTTATCCGGGCCATCTGTCTCGGATACGTCAACGAAATCGATTGTCTCTGAAGGCCTGGGAGAAAGCCGTGCAAGGTGGATTGGAAAGAACGTCCTGGTGCATAAATGGAATCTAAACCGTGTAAAATTGTGGTAAATGTAGTTGCTAACCGTCAAACATTGAAAGTTCAATAATACCGCCTCCGTCAACGGAAAGTAAGGTAACGTCATAGTGTAATCAGCGAAATGAGCCCCACCTTTTTTGTTGTCTAGGGGTAAATAAAAAATACGTTCGAACTTGATTTATGGCTCAAAAATGCACGTTCATCGTTGAAACTTGGTAAATAATGTTCGCACTTAGATCGAATTAGAAATTAACGATCGCAGATGAATTAAAAAAACGGGAAGTCATCAATTTCGGACAATGCTTGGTGTCAAGATAACACTGACACAACTGATCTATCTAATCTAAAATTTAACAATCAACCTTCCAAGAAAAGTTCTCTTAAGATATCGGTCAAAGCTAACTCCGAATTTTAATGCGATTCATAGGTTTGCCTGAATAGAGTCGTTTGCGAGTTCAGACACCAATGAAGTAGATTTGCCAAAAGTCAACCTTTTCTTAATCCTTGACTTATACTTATCTTCCTCGAGCGAAGAGAGAGGGGAATCTTCGCGCGACGAAGTCAGGAGGGCAATCTCTCGCTGGTGCGAGCTCGAAACTAACAATGGAAATATTATTGGAAAGGACTTTTAGAAAGTCTACCAATAAAGCTGCTTTGGGCGACAAAGTCCTCAAAGAGCAAATAAAGTAAACATGACTACTGAGCCCTGCTGTGCTGGATATCATCAAAAAGGGGTGGAAGGCTAACAGAGTTCATCTCCCATATAGGCCTTATGCCTTAGGTAATCCATCTCAAGATATTTTTTTGTGTAATTTTTTGTTACCTAGTTCTTCTGCGCGCGGATAATAGAAGAACGCGCTTTGCGTGGATGTCTTCGTGGACGATGTATAAAATGCACGTGGAGCCGCTTGTGGTGTAAAAGTCCGCATCATAAGATTGACAATTTTTAGACTCTCCTGGGATTTCCAAAGCCGCGAGTGATCTAAATACAACTTAACCAACTTTAATAGTAGAGAAACATTTCGTTGTTTGAATTGTTGCCAATTTGCATCGTTTGAATAATTCTTCTTTTTTTGTACGCAATCATTTGACTGAGAAAGGTTTCTGCGAGATTTCTGTTTATGACAAGACTACGGTGATCGATATCTCCACCCAAAAGCGACGTACGACATTTGAACACTGGTATATTAACAGGAACTTGCTAGAGGCATTAGAGTTTTTTTTTTGGGGGGGGNTTCGATATATCAATATTCTAGCATGGCTCCGAGGTCTTCAGGATAAACCTCTACATTTGGTGGTGTTTTCTTTGTATGCAAGTCTCTTTTGGGAACTGAAGGACAAAAGAAACTTTAAAAATTTGCAATTTTGACCCGAAAGCGTCGGCGCCATATATCGAACGTGGCGTATTCTCGACGAGAATAAATAATAATATCTGGAAAATATTTCGCATCTTTCAATCTCTTGCCGAAACATACACTTACGACAATGCTTGTATAGATATTTTGAATTAAAATTCAATGTTTCTTTACAATCCTTCATTGCTACGTGACGATAAAACGGCAAATAATTGTAAATCGTATTTTACATTTCCAAAAACAAACAATGCACCGCTTAATGTGTATGGAACTTGAAATTTTAATTAAAATCGTATCAAGCTTCCCAACCTATCAGTGAAAAATTAGGCAAGATTTACCTTCCGAGAAAAACAAACAATGTACCGGCAACACGACGCACGAAAGTCGGATATCGTAACTGTTTAAGTCAGTAATAGGGGTTAATTTTTTTTTTTTTGACTAAAACTTTCAAATGCTATTTAGTGCATCTAATATTGTATGTGAGAAAAACTTCTCGATACTTTGTATTCAGCTGTGATGCAATTTCATTTTTGCTTCCGATTGTGGAAGTTACATGTTGGCTTTCTACGGGCTGTAGAAGAGATAAGAAGTTTTCAAACAATCAGGGAAGGGTTTAAATCCGCATTATGTTATTAAAAGGAAAATAGTTGAGATAAACGAAGAATGACAATTTTGCCTGAAAGTCGAAATCGTAAACTACTGCTCTTCGGTTAGAATGGGATTGTACTCACCCTCGAGTCTTTTAAATACTATTTATTCAGCTTAGGAGCGAAAGTCTGAAACTTGTCACAAATAAAGGAGAATTTTCTGTCACAAACCCAACCTAAACCATCAGAAATGATAATGTATTTAAGTTAATCGAAAGAGACGAGCGTATTGCCCAAATTTACTCACCATTGGGTCTGAAAACGAACACGACATGTGAACGGTGACGAAGATAATGAAGACTATGGAAACCATTGTTATGGATACTTGTGTGAGAGCAAAATATGACGGTGAGGGCTTGAACGGTGCTTTTAAACATTGTTGTTTCGCTCAACGCGCGGCGGAAAAGCGTCGTGGTCTATGATTGGCTTAAATCCTCGTGACGTCACGATATTTGATTGTTTCCCTTGCAATGGCATCACTTGACATTTGAAAAATGGTTCTTCAACCACTTCGTTTACAGCTAAGCAATACAACAGACCGAGAGCAATATCAATTCCGAGGTATATTTGTGGATAGGATAGTTGACTTATTACGGGTTAAATAAAATTAGCTCCATTCTACCGTATCCG